ATAGCTTACAGGCTCAAGGAAGCACCCATGAGCAGGATGTAGGGCTCTAATAGCATTGCTTAGAATGCACATTAAGAGAGCCCAACAAACAATAATGATGTTTTTGAATGTCAAATGAAGAATAACTACAGAAACAAAACTTACTTTTTTCCTTTACCCCACTTGTAACACCAGCAGTAAGGATTTCAGGCTAGAATATGTAATGAATGTCTTGCCAGCTTGCTTTGTCCCAAGGATGAGCAGACTTAGCATACTTATGCTCAGAGCAGTTCCATTTATAGATGACGTTAATTTGTCCAATTGGAAGTGTTCATTGGAGAGGTAAACCTTATCAGGACAATCAGATATGATCCACTTCCTCAACTTCTATTGCTCCTCAGGTTAGCTAGAGCCTTAGCACCCAAACAGAAGCTTCTCATGGTCAAGAATTTGGATGTTCTACTCTTGCAGGGGAAGAGTATTTGTATTTTTTCTTTGATAAATTGTTCATATATTTTGTTCACATTTTTATTAGAACAATCTACTTCTTTATTAAGACAATATACTTCTTAGTGTTTTTGGAGGATGTGGCACTAATAATAGTTTTGTTAACACATCATTTGCCATAAATATATCCAGTTATGGTAATAATATTTTAAGGTGGCTATGAAGGTTTTATTTGACCAGATTTTCTCCTATTATTGTTTCTAAAGTTTACATAATAATGTCTTATATTATTTACCTTTAAAAAATTATTTCTTCTATATGTGAAAATGGTAAGGATCACATTTATGCACACATGTACATTCTATAGAATCCATAATAACATTTAAGAAATAAAACCACTAGTATTCAACTTAATATTTAAAGTTAAAACAAAATTAATTCCTTTTCACCCTTAATGGTCTTCATTTCATGCATAAATAAATCACTCCCACCTTCAGCTTTTCTAATAAAATGGATTTGCAAACATTTCCCATAGCCCACAACCACCAACACACTTTCAGTGCAATGAATTTAATTGTAGCTCCCTGTGAGTTCCTTCTATTTGTATAAATCACAAAACATACAAAGTAAAGCGAAGTTTCTAAACCTCACAGTAGTTTCTTGGCAACATTATTTTCAGGAGCAAAGACACTTTCCTCATCAACACTATTGAAAGCCCAATTGTCAAGCACAATCTTATTAAGTCCTTGAGGCTATTGTCACTTTGTTTGGTTCATTGTTCTTTTTATGCCTAACTGGTTATATAACTTAATGTCTTATAACTTAAAATAGCACATCAAGTAGGAAAACATGCTTTTGTATCATTTTTATCACTTTGTTGTTTCAAAAATGTCAAATGCTTCACATATTTGTGCTTATAAGTGAATTTTAGAAATATTTTCAACATTCATAACAAGCTGAAAGGTGAAATTTCAGAGCTTTTGTGATTTTGATACTTAATAAACATTAAATATAAAGATTAAAAACTGCATTAATACATTGAGATACACAACTTCATGATTCAGTGAGCCTATAAATCCAGTTGTTCATGAGGTTGAGCAGGACATTTCCACAGTCAATGTTTGTCTGAGATGCAGTATGAGTTCAAGGCCAGTCTGTGAGATTTGTGATTGTGTAAAATCAAAAAATACAACACAGCTGTAGTACAAAAATCAAAAGAAAGTGGAGGATATAACTCAGTGGAAAAGTATTATAATGAATATGAACTAGCTAACATTTACATTTTATTTTATAAATGATTATTGTTGATACATACCAAGTTTAAGTTTTGTTTATGACTGTCCACTCACTTAACTATAATTATTTCAGAGGTTCTTAACTAATTTTTAAGAATTTTCTAATCAGTCAGTTATGCCATCATCAAATAAACTGCATCCCTTTTTATATGAAATATATTTACTTTTATTTTTAATTAATCTGTTGTCACAAACGTCTAACTCATGTTATATTAGTAAAAATAAATATCTTTGACTTACTCATAAAACTTCAAGAACAATCTTGGTTTTAGTATTAACTTTGAAAGTTGATATTGGATATTTATGAATTTTCTACCATGTTCATATATTTTTTATCCGTTGGTTAGAAGAATTACATAAATACATATTCTTATGTTAAGTCACATAGTCACATTTGTATTCTTGAAGTCCATTTGTGATTATTTCTATCAAAATTGCTCACTATTTATGAATCTCAATTTTATTGACTAATAATTTATGATTTTATAAGTGAATCTGATATGTTTTCTTCCTATCCTGTCTGTTTCAACATTTGGTCAAGCCAGATTCCTATAATATACTACTTCCTTTGCATAAAAATTATTAAAATTTTTACATAAAATAGAAATTTAGGAAAATCAAAATTGACCTACCTTTAAGCTCTCTACGTCTTATTGGAGAGATGTTTGTTTGAAATTATCTTTTACTTCTTCCTTGCTTATGTTCCTTTGATGTTCTTCTTTTAAAGGGAATGCAGCACAGTTTATTCTGGAGCCATTTTTGAGTGAACATGTACTGGAAACACACCTATGTGTTACTAAAAATTCAATCATCCAAAGTATAAACAGTTTTGTGAATTTTTATAGTTTCATAGAACAAAGAAAGTCATAAATTGAGGTAAGTTTAAAAATACATTAGTGGTCTTTAGTGTTTTTAATCCAAATACATAGTCAACTAAAGTTTTCTGGGATAAAACAAATTTTTATCAGGCTATAATAAGGGTACATTACTGGAAGATATTAAACAAAATTAACCTGTTCTCTGAAAGACAAATACTTCAGGTTCTGTCAAATAAATATGAATGTAATATATTATATATATATATATATATATAATATATTACGCATAAATCTGTATGTTTACATATACACACATATACACACATGCACACACATATTATGCATCTATACATATTAAGTCTATGGAAAGGGGAGTATAGGAGTCTGAAAGAGGAAATGAGGTAATGATAGAGAAGGGGGGCCTTAAGTGAATAACAGAATACTTGTGGCATGAAAGTGCAACGGGGACTACTGGGGAAAGATTAGGACAAATGAGGAGGTAAGGGGGAACGGAAAGGGCAGTATGGCAATAGGATCAACAAAAACAATACATGACAATTACGTAATAAAAATCATTGCTTTTACGCCAATTTTAAGATGTGACATATTTTAGGGTATTAGTTGAGTTTCCAGAACTTCCATCACTTCATATTCTGAACATGAACCACTGTTTCAGGTAGGTTAGCTTAGTGAGGGATTATCTAATATTGTTTTAATTTTATTCAAATTGGAGCAAGCTTGGTAATTGTTATCTAGGTAATTTAGCAAATGAAACTAACATTTTCTTTTCAAAGTTGAAAATGTTCAGTTATTTCATCATTCATTTTAATCATTCAGATCAAGATTTACAAATATTTTTATGTGAGTTAGGGAATGAACTTTCCATGTATATGAAATATCAAAAGAGATATAAACAAGCTCAATCTAAAATTTTTGTTATATTTTCCAAACTTATCATTCGGCATATTTTTCTAATTGTTTTGGATTTCTCACCAAGCTTCCTTGAGGAATCACCAAAACAGTTATTATCAAATTACAGACAACAAAACAAGCCACAGTAAAGTCATACCAAAACCAAAGATTTCATGATCATTGAGAAGAATTAGATTAATCTGGTGTCAAAAGGAAATATTTTTTTTTTTTTTTTGGTTTTTCAAGACAGGGTTTCTCTGTAGTTTTGTGCCTTTCCTGGAACTCACTTTGTAGACCAGGCTGGCTCGAACTCACAGAGATCCGCCTGCCTCTGCCTCCCGAGTGCTGGGATTAAAGGCGTGCGCCACCACCGCCCGGCAGAAATATGTTTTTTATAATTATTTTTTAAATATATCATGGTGCAGCAGAAAGGTCAAGCGGTTAAGAGCATATATTTATCTTCCAAGGAATCCCAGTTCAATTCCCATGAGTCACATCAGACAGCTCAGAACTGCCTTTAGCTAGAACTCCAATGGAATCTGATACCTGATATCTCTGTTCTCCAAGGAAACTGCAAACACACACACACACACACACACACACACACACACACACACACACACACTTAGTATAATGTTTAAAAACAAGTACATGAAGATTGGAGAGAAGAGTGGTATATATGGCAGGCATTGGAGGAGAGGAAGTTTGGGACTGGATTTGATCAAAATATAATATATACTTTTAAAAATTCTAAAACAATTAAAATATTCTTAAGTTTAATTGAGCACAAACTAGAATGATCTACTACATAGAAAAGAAATATCAGAATACACTCTTTTATTAATGATAGTATTTTAGAAAAATTGCTTCTTATAAATGAGTCATTAGGACCATTAATAAAGACCAGCAGGAAAAGACAAAAACACTACAACTTTTAAAAGGAAGAACGTTCAAAGTCTTTTAAAATTATATGCAAAACAATTAAACAACAACCTGACAAAAATCAAAATGCCAAAAGAACTAGATAAATCAGTGGGTAACAGCACTTGCTTCCAAGCCTGACCACCTGAGTTCAATCCCCAGAAGAAAAGAACAATCCAAATCCTCTGACCTCAACATGAACAACCCATGGTATGTTGATATGTGTACTTGAACACATACACACACACACACACACACACAGAGAGAGAGTGAATTTTTCAAATTAATGGTAATATTATTCTTCAATTAATGGACTTTGGTGACAGCTGTTAAGAGAACTCGAGAGTTATAAAAAATGGGGTAAGAACAAGTACATTAGAAGCTATGGTTAAAAAAAAAAGTTAAGAAAAACAGTAAGGCCATGCAGATCCAAAAAGCTTAGAGGGTGAGTGGATGAGAGGATAGTTCAGAGAGTTTGTGACATCACAGAGCCAGTTAGCTCAGCCTGCCAACTGATGAGAATTCTGTTCAGAAATCTGTGAAGGTTTTCCCTTGCTCTCCCAGAGCTCCCTTAGTCCTATTTCAGTCATCCTTGGTTTCCAAGGCACTGAAGGCAGTGTTCAAGAATATGGAGGGTGTTGAAGGTAGTCTAGAGGAGACCCAAGATCCTAATGAAAAAAGTACCTTGATCAGGAAAAGACTTGCCAGGAGCTGTAAGAGCAAGTTTCTTGACAACCAGAGACTTCGGAAAGGATACCTGCTGCCGTCTGCGTCTGTGAAGATCCTCCGTGACTGGCTCTATAAGCACCGGTTTAATGCCTACCCTACTGAAGAAGAGAAGCAAATGCTGTCCAAGAAGACCAACTTATCTTACCTTCAGATCTCCAACTGGTTTACAAACGCCCGTAGACGCCTTCTCCCAGGAATCCTTCAAGAAAATTTTAACAAATTTACCTATGAAGGCCAGGCTGCAAACTCATCCCAGAAGCAGCACATCAGTCTATCTGAAGAGGTTAAGGCACAGCCTAATGTCCAAGCAGAGATGGGGGATCTGTCCCTGCTAATATACCAAGTATCTCAAAAGCTACCAGATCCCGTGTCTTCAAGCCATGTCGTCCCTGAAGCCCCTTCAGAGGAAGAAGGCAAGTTTTCCACCTGTGAGCCTTTGTCTTCTTCAGCATCTGTGCTGCCAGAGGAAAAACCCGATTTTAGCAGCTTCTACATGCTGGTTGATGCTGCTGTACAGAAGGCAGCAGAACTGGAGGAGCAGAAGAAGCAAAATCTCAATCAGTAATCTCCACTCCCACCCCTCTCAACAGTTCACATAGTCAGTCCTTTGCACTTTGGTGGGTTAATATATGCTCAACCTGATTTAATTTACAATGCCATTTTGCAATGTCATCTTTTGTCCTACGTTTATCCCCTGCTCCCCAATCTTGAGAAACTTTTTCCATTATCACATCTCAATTTTTCTGCGTATGTCAGTGTTTTCAGATGAAACTCGACAGTCACAATTATCAACTTTAACGAATTTCTAAATTCTCCTCCCCTGGGCTTAAGTGTTATATATTGGATATTAAACATTATGTGAGCTTCAGACAAGGGTGTTCATGGCTAATCTCAATTTCTCCAATCCAGTTAAACCCTAGATACCAAGGCATCCTTCTCTCTCTATTGGTATATATCTTTTAATTACTTGCACAGATAATATAAAGGAAAAACTCCAAAACAAATGTTTATGACACTGTTGTCCAGATTTTAATTTTTTGTTGTTGTTGTTTTGCTTTTAAGCTTTCAAGTCTCTGTTTCACTTTGTACAGTTTATTTTGAGTAGAGGTTTATATCTGCAGGAATATGAGTATGAAAGCCAAAGTAAAGTAAATTCATAATTTTTGGGAGGATAAGGGTAATCTCTTTAGACAAATCATAGTGAACATTTGGCATGGTAATTTCATGGAGAACTTCAATTGGTGGTTTACTGCTGCCAAGTCTTAGTTTGTTCACTGGGTTTGGAGAATGTGTTTTGTTAGTTTTAATTATCTGCATCACAGGAAAACTGTAACAACAAATTCCCTAGAAACCAGCTGTAGATAATTTATGGGGGGAAAAAGGAATCAATCTAGAATATTTTAGTAAAGCACAAATTAAACTCAGGTAATCTATATTGTGTTTGTTTTACTTAAACATATTTATTTTTCAGTTTAAAATGTTTGACTTGATGGGTTTTTGTGGGAAGGTAAATGCTTCAGACAGCTCCCACATGAAAATATTCCTGTGGGTCTATGAATGCAGCTTCTCATGCTGTCTTAAGTTCAGACAGATTTTCAAGAGAAACTGAAATATACTAATCCATAAAGGTGTTATTTAGGTTTTCTGATTTTATGAAGCTAAAACCTTGTTAATACGGCCTCTGTTTCAGCTCCTGCATAAACAACAAACAGCTATAACTAATAGGCATGTGGGCTTTTTGTCTACTTCTTAGGTGGTTGATTGTTGTTTTAGTGCCTATCTCTTTATTGAGAATTTCAATATAATATGTTTCATCTTCTTAAAGCATGTTTAGAAAGTCTTAGTCTGAAAAACGTCAATTTCCATGTTGATAGAAAAGAAGAGATCATCAATCTCAAACTGCCTTTCCTGAAATAGAGTAAAGCAATTCATATTTCCTTCTGTTTTTATATTATTGTTTCACAGTTCTTATATAATGGAATTTATTCATTTTCACCCCTGTTTCCCTGTCATCTCCTTTCCTTTCCTGCTCTAACCCTTCTTCACAACAAGTCCCCCTCTACTTGCATGCCCCCACTTTTTTTTTTAATTGATGTTTTCAGTTTAATTACCATTTCTTGTACAAGTGTGAGTGGGGGAGTTTTTATTGAAGCAAGGGAAATTCATCACTAACAAGACTCCACCCCCAACAACTATTCACTGCCAATAGTCCCTTAGGTATAGGTGGGCCCTACCCCATCCATGATGAAATGTTGATAAGTTGATCTTGTGTAGAAAACCACAACTTCAGTGAGTTTGTCAATGCAAGAGCTATATCAAGTCCAGAAGGGGTTCTTTTGATGTATATTTCCCCATCCTCTTTTCTTATATTCTTTCCACTCTACCTCAGTGTTTATTGAGCCTAGTATGGATGATATAGCTATCCCATTTAGGGCCATACATTTCTTCTTCATTTATTCTCCTCCATACATTCCATCTTCACTTATTTGTCTCCACATTTTGGGTATTTTTAGCTTTCTGTATTAACATCTATCAGTTGTACTAAGAATCTTCACTGATGAATATGTGAACAACGCTGATAATTTATGAATCTAAAAATGATTATTAAGCAGTCTGTCAATATAAAAATTTAGCAAAACAATTTTAGCTACTTCCTAGGACCTATGACCACCCCAGTCATGTAATCTTGACTTGTTTTACATAACTAGGCTTGATTTCCCTCTTCTTGATTTGACCTCAATCACAAGGAAAAACAAAAAGTTAAGAGTATATCAGTCATTCCAATATTACACTACAAAATACAACTAGTCCAGAAGCACATTGTTATAGGTTCCAAGATTCACAAGTGAATTGGATTATTGATTACTTATTATCAGTAACATGCATAGCACATTCTAGAAATGTGAAAGCTAGCCAGTATGAAGGTTGCTTCCAACTCCTCTCTAACATCATTTGTTGAAAAGTCTGGGTTTCTTGTTTGTCTGTTTTAACTCAAACAATATTTTTGTCAAAAATAAGGTGGCTTTTTAAAAAAAGATTTATTTATTTATTATGTACACAGAAGAGGGAGCCAGATCTCACTACAGATGGTTATGAGCCACCATTGTGTGCTGGGAATTGGACTCAGGACCTCTGGAAGAACAGTCGGTGCTCTTAACTTCTGAGCCATCTCGAGAATTGTTGAGACCAAGATTGGAAAAAGTACAGGGATAAATAGCCAAACGAATGGAAACACATGAACTATGAGGCAATAGCTGAGGAGCCCCCAACTGGATCAGGCCCTCTGGATAAGTGAGACAGTTGATTAGCTTTAACTGTTTGGGAGGCACCCAGACAGTGGGACCAGGACCTGTCCTCAGTGCATGAGCTGCCTGTTTGGAACCTGGGGCTTATACAGGGACACTTGGCTCAGTCTGGGAGGAGGGGACTGGACCTGCCTGGACTGAATCTACCAGGTTGAATTCAATCCCCAGGGGAGTCTTTGCCCTGGAGGAGATGGGAATGAGGGGTGGGCTGGGGGGAAGGCGGGGGTGGAGGCTGGAGGGAGGAGAACAAGGGAATCCATGGCTGATATGTAAAATTAAATTAAATTATAAAATAAAAAAATAAGGTGGCTGTAGGTACACAGACTTAGGTATGGGTCCTATATTTTATTCAGTTGCTCTATATTTATATTTCAGCTTATATCATGTTGTTTTAATTACTATTGGTTCTGGAATTTAAATTGAAATTAGATATGATGATATTCCCAGTAGAGTTTAGGATTTTTATGGGTATCTGGGATCTTTTGTACTTGCATATAGATTTAATTTCTTTTTCTTATTTTAGTTTATTAAGAATTGAGTTGGCGGGCGGTGGTGGCGCACGCCTTTAATCCCAGCACTCGGGAGGCAGAGCCAGGCGGATCTCTGTGAGTTCGAGGCCAGCCTGGGCTACCAAGTGAGTTCCAGGAAAAGGCGCAAAGCTACACAGAGAAACCCTGTCTCGAAAAAAAAAAAAAAAAAAAAAAAAAAAAAAAAAAAAAAAAAGGGCGGTGGTGGCGCACGCCTTTAATCCCAGCACTCGGGAGGCAGAGCCAGGCGGATCGCTGTGAGTTCGAGGCCAACCTGGGCTACCAAGTGAGTTCCAGGAAAGGCGCAAAGCTACACAGAGAAACCCTGTCTCGAAAAACAAAAAACAAAAAAAAAAACAAAAACAAAAAAACAAAAAAAACAAAAAAAAAAAAAAGAATTGAGTTGGTGTTTTGATTAAAGTTGCAATGAATTTGTCAATTATTTTTGGTAGAATGATCATTATCACAAAATTAATCCTGATAATCCATGAATGTAGAAGGTTTTTCGATGTTCTAATTTCCTCCTCAACTTCTTCAATATTTTACAATTTTCATTGTATAGATGTTTTGCTTCCTTAGTTAAATCTCTCTCTCTGTCTCTCTGTCTCTGTCTCTGTCTCTGTCTCTCTCTCTCTCTCTCTTCACTCTCATGTCTTGTGAATGGTAATATTTTTAAGATTTTTTTTAGTGTGTTTGTCATTGCATACAGGATTTCTGTTGATTTTAGTATATTAGTTTTTTTCCCTTTCTTTCTTTTACTAAGAGAGTTTTCTATTCATTTTACATTACATACCAACCACAGATTCCCCTGTCCTCCATTCTCTTGCCCCCAGCCTTCCCCCCCCCCAAACCACCCCCTAATCCCACCTCCTCCATGGCAAGGTCTCCCATGGGGAGTCAGCAGAGCCTGTTATATTGAGTTGAGATAGGTTCAAGCCCCTTCGCCCTGCACCAATGCTGTGCAGTGTTTCACCATAGGCACTAGGCTTTAAAAAGCCAGCTCATGCACTAAGGACAGGTCCCAATCCCACTGCTTGTGGGTCTCCTACACAGTTCATGCTCAACAACTATCTCACTTATCAAGAGGGCCTAGTCCAGTACCATGTGGGCTCCTCAGCTATTGATCCACATTTCATGCATTTCCACTAGTTTGGCTAGTTATTTCTCTACTTTTTCTGGTCATAGCCTCAATATCCCTTGCTCATGGAACCCCTCCTCTATCTCATCGATTGGACTCCTGGAGTTTGGCCGGTGACCCAGTTGTGGATTTCTGCACCTGCTTCCATCAGTCACTGGATGAGGGTTCTATGATAACAGTTAGGGTATTCAGCCATCCGATCACCAGAGTAGACCAGCTCAGGCACACTCTTGACCACTGCCATTAGTCTATGGTGGAATCATCCTTGTAGCTAGAGTTTTCCTGCCTGGCCCACAGTCAGGATAAATCTCTCTCACCTGCCAGTCCCATAACCGCTCAGACCTGACCAAGTAAACACAGAGATTTATATTGGTTACAAACTGTATGGCCGTGGCAGGCTTCTTGCTAACTGTTCTTATAGCTTAAATTAATCCACTTCCATTAATCTATACCTTGCCACGTGGCTCGTGGCTTACCGGCATCTTCACATGCTGTTTGTCATCATGGCGGCTGGCAGTGTCTCTCTGACTCAGCCTTCCACTTCCCAGCTTTATTCTCCTCCTTGTCCCGCCTACACTTCCTGCCTAGCCAATGG